AAGTGCAATTGTCCTTTTCGTCAAGACATCCAACTCCGTTCGAATATGCTGAAGAGTATTAATACGACAGCACAACTGGGGTATCCCGAAGGAGTCATTACCATTTGTAGTCCCAACCTGAGATTTCCTACTCTGTACCCTTTGAAACTTTTCTTTTTTCTTAAATACACCCGGAAATTTTGGCCGTCTTGAGCACCTAGTCAAAGCAGGCATTGAGGGAACAAAACTACTTCGGGTCCCTGTAGATCAGAAGATAGTTCATTTTCCTTTTTAGTCATCATCGAAATCGATAACTTCAGAAGAAATAACGAAAAATACGTACCACAGCCAGACTTGGCCTTTGATATATAATGCTGAAGACATCTGTCAATACCATAGGTTAAATCAGGAAGCAAAAAAGCATGTATAGATATTGGTAACAAAAAAAATGCTTCTAAAGCTTCGTCTACGATTCGCAAAACTTCAACAGCAGAGGGAGCAAATCGCTCTTTATTCGCTCGTGGATCCCATACCTACAAAGAGACGAGAAAACAGAAATGTATAGCAACGGATCGTCAGCAACCAAATGAGATTCAAGACATGATAGAGGCTGGAAACCGAGTATAATTTATAAACATAAACAAAATTTCCCTGTTAAACAGCTCGCATCTTCAGATTTTCCGATTATGGAAAGACAACATAAGTCATATATACCTCTTGCTGCAGATTCCTGTCAACCCATTCCTTCATTCTGTCTAATCTAGTCTTTATCCATGATTTCACCAGGCTCGAGACTACAGATTCAGCTTCATAAGGAGGCATCTCCCTTATGATTGACTTTCCGCCATCCTCACTGTCCACCGAGTTTTCAACCGCAATTTGCACCAGATCTTTCTCCAATTTCTCGGCAGCTCTCAGCACTTGTAATATATCCGGTGTCAATTCACCAATGTCAGAAATGAATTGCTTCAGCGCGTTCCCATAGCAGGAATGAAGAGTGACTACAGCCACACCTGCCGGAAGAGGATGCCATCTCTTTAATATTGGACTAAATATCGCCTTCTCACTGAAAGCCAGTGTAGTGACATCCTGTGCAAGGCTGGAAAGAAAAGGAAGCTCATTTTGCTGGTTCTTGTTCGTTGAACGTTTGCTAGACTTCACCTTCTCCATTATCTGTCTAAGTAAATTATCAATAGACAACCTTGAGTTGCTTTCATACAGAAATTTAACAGGCAAACTTGGTTTAAATATATAATTTAAGAGCTAACGGAACAAAGAACATGGTTTAGTAAGATAAGTTATTGATAAAAAGATGATGATGATATACTAGGAAAATTTCGGGAACTTGCCTTAACGAAAGCAGTGCGGAGTGAAGATCGTATGTAAGTATCAACTCTCTCGTGAGCAACGTCGATTTCCTTTCTATTCTTACGGTACTCATGCGAGATATCTTCTAACATTATCTTTGCTGATAGAACCCCCATAGAAACAACACATTCCATTAACTCAGTGTTATCACTATTGAAATAATTGTGGTAGGCAATAAGCTTTTTCTCGGCAACCTAAAATTGCACTCAGAGTAGAACTCAATATCTTGGAGTAATTCGGATCTTTCATTTCCTTCGAATCCTTTTCGACTTCCATCAACAGATTATTGGCAGCAAACAACAGATTGCCTTCCACTTGACCGGTAACCACATACCGGTTAAACAGTATCCACGAGAAACAAAGATTATGCAGCATCTGGTTCATCCCAAGTACTACCCACGTCTTCTTTACGAGTTCAAGAACCTCGTCGACTTCTTCAATAACACACAGATGTTTCATCATTAACATCGAAACAAGCTTCTAACAGCACTAGGTAAATTTTGAGATTCAATGGGAGTCCATCTGCCCAGTGGCTGGTCTCGGAAACAGAACCGTCAAAGGATTGTCTACAAGCAAGAGATAAAACAATGCTCCGGAGGGTTTGCATCGATTCGTTGTTTTTTCCAGTCTCCAAGGGCTTCTCCAGCCCTCCACGGATGATCTGCCGTAGTCGCTGCGGCGAGTTGTCGGCCTTGTCTAGTGGCAAGAGAGGATGCAATAGTAATCCGGCTTCAAGAAGCTTCAGATTTCTCCTCTGCCAAGCATCGTAGTCGCCTTGATTCGGAAAATCCGAAGATTTCAGTTGCTGCAACATCTCAAGTGGCAATACAATCGACTCTATCCTTCTTCCAAGCTGATAAAAATGAAAATAATAATAATCATAATTGAACTCAAATTTCATAAACAATCCCTATAATCAACAATTAGAATTAGCCATTTGTGTCCGCTAATTATTCTAAAAAAGAATTTGTAACTTTTCGCAGTAAAATTGAAAGAAAGAAATTTACGGCACAGTTTTTAACAGACCTGAGCAGCAGCAATTCTCAAAAGAGCTCTTCGAACCCTGGAATCCGTTTGCTCTGAAATTCCCATTTGAACCCTTAACAACTCCCCAATTGTAACCGCCTTTTTGACTCGTTCCGAGTCCGACTCGCTGCTCACTTTCCTCCCGCGAGACGATCTCAATCCTAAAGCCTTCTTCACCTTACTCGCCGGCGTTGACGTCAACGACCTCTGCAACGATGCAGACGGAGTCAAACTCGGAGTCGTCGCCGCGGTCCTCTTCCGAATTCCTATCCGACTGCGATATGTAAGTCAGAGGCTTCCCACCGGTAGTCCGACAAGCACCGACCAGAATCTCGTAAGCCGTCTCCCGGAGCTCCGATTCCGATAAATTAGTCGCCAACTCCCCGAAAGGACACGTCAGCGTTTCGGTAAAGTAATTAGGCATCGTCTCCGTCGTTTTCGTCGTAGCCTGATGATGATCGGTGTGTCTTCTGGCATGGCTGGAAGTTCTTTCCTTTAATCTACCACCCGACATGCTTAAAGAATTAAATTAAACAGGGTTAAAGTTGAAGGGTTTAACGGGATACTTCACTGGCTCTCTCTTTTTTTCTCTTTTTTATTAGTTAAAGATTCTTGCTTGACTTTAAAGGAAACAAAATCAAAGTTCTGCAAATTATCATTAAACAGCAGAGAGAGAGAGAAAGAGACAAAGTTAAAAAGAACAAAAATTTAGACAGAATTTTGGACAGTCAAAGAATTTGGTATCATTTTTCTCTTTTTCTTGCATAAAAGGATAAGAAAGAAAATCGGATGAGAAATTAGAAGAAAATAAATAAAACGATGGTGCCGTTTTCATTCTCGGCAGCCAACTTGACCGAGTCGGGAAGCGCGTGCGATGTATTTTTTCCCCTTTTAATTGCTGAGTTTTTCCAGTCAAATATTTTTTTAAATTTATTTTTGGGTCTAATTTCAATTTTAGTCACTATATTGTACTTATAATTTTAATTTGATCCCAACGCTTTTGATGAGAAAAAAAATCCTTACATTCAATTCGGACTAACTTCATAACTTATATATAGTACAAGTATTAATCATGGAATTGAACCTTTAATTTACAACTTTGGAAAATGTCCAAGTGTGTGTGTGTGTAAAAATAAGCAATCAGTTGGATATTTCAAATTATTTTATTTAACTGTTTTAATCATGAACCTCCCCACCTCAAATTCATTAAGAAAATAAATATCATGTCTTAAATCAATATTTGCTTTTAAGGTCCTGAAGTTGAACCCTAAATATATAATATTTTATTAACTTATTAGTTTCATTTAGTGAGTCACAGACATGTAGGTGTACTTTTCAATTATATTAATTGTTATACAAAATTAAAAGATGCCGTACGTTTTTTAAGTATTCAAAAAAATATGATTTTAATTTATTAAAAAAACCTAAATATTTGTATTTTAATCAGGCTCTTAACAAGTAGCATATTCATGTTTTAAGAAAGCCTGATATTCATGATTAAGGTATTTTTTTCTTATAAATTCAATATACAACAATGATTTCATCTATTAATACCAATAAATTAAGGTTATAAAGTAGGAAGTACAATAATCAAGCTTAGTTGGACAATTTTTAGCATGATAACTATAATTTATTAATATAAAAGATAAATTGAATTAAAATTTAGAATGACATTTTATATTACATCTTAATTGTAATTTTAGATTAAATCACTAATGTTCATAGTATAAAAATATATTTATTTTTAAGTGATCTTTAAAAAATGTATAATAACTTTTGAAATGTAGGGTAAATTACATAAATGATATTTGAATTTTAAGGCTGGCTTTTAAAACTTATAATTCAATTATTATATATTTTTTATTACAATCACTTTCATCATTTGTCATTAAGAAAACTTGTCGTTAAGTTTCTTATTCATCCAAAAATCTAAAATTTCTCGTACTTAAAATTAGAATATGTCACTTTTCTTTTTACCGTTATTCTTGTCACCATTCAATGGTTTTTCTAGTTTAAAAGATCGTTGAACTATTCTCTTTATTTTTTAGTTCAAATTCATCAAAAAATTTCTACCTCCTCAAATTCCAATGTTAATCTTTTGATCAAATAAAGTCTTCAAAACGCAAGATTGACCGATGAACATTCCGTTCATTAGAAACTCACCTAGAATGTATGCACGGTTTTTTTATTTGTTTGTTTTTACTGTTGTTTATTGTCTATTGCTATTGGTGGTTTTGGATGTGAACAATGATCAAATAAAGTTGATAATTATGACTCGGCTTTTGGTTGGTCTAGTCATGAATGGTGGTTGTGGTGTTCGGAATAACAGTGATAAATGGTTAAATGGTCATGGAATATACTGAAGCTCTTGAGAATAGTAAGTGGTATGTTTAACAACAATAACGACTAAAAAAAATCAAATGATAGTGACCGTAATTAAAGTGAATCAAAAGTTCAATGATGATGTTATAATTTTTAAAAGTTTAGTGATCAAAATTTAAGTTATCTAAAAGTTTAGAGACCATTTTTGTATTTTACCGTAAAATATATTCGTAAAGCCTCGAAATTTAAGTACACAATCGGTAATCTTTGGGCAGCAGGGTGAACTTCATAAATTCTTATTCATTGTACACGTTTAAGTTACTTCAATGTTAGTTACCGAAAAACGGCTACTTCTACAATAAAGTACACAGTTTTCCCGCCAAGGTATTTAACTCTCATTAATTGGAAAAACTGTAATTCAAAAAAGTAAAAATGAGAGGCAGGCAACAGCTTCGCCACGCAATTGATTCATTATACGCAGGTGGTCAAGCGACGGCAGAAGCGTACGTGCCGCTCGTGATCGAATGCCTTCGAGTCAACGATGTCGGTCAAGCCAAGAGACTGCAATCTCACATGGATCGACACTATTTTAGACCCAGCGACACGTTTCTACATAATCGTCTTCTCCACTTGTACGCGAGATTTGGGAGAATTTCAGATGCTCGAGACCTGTTTGATAAAATGCTTCACAGAGATATTATCTCCTGGAATACTATGCTTTCTGTATATGCAAAATCAGGGTCTGTTGAGAATTTGAGAGCACTCTTTGATCAAATGCCTTCTCGTGATTCTGTTTCTTATAATACCGTGATTGCTGGTTTGGCTGGAAGGGGATGTTCGAGTCAGGCGCTTGGAGTTTTCTTGAGGATGAATAGAGAGGGATTTGAGCCGACGGATTATACTCATGTGAGTGCATTGAATGCGTGTTCACGGTTATCAGATTTGAGGAAAGGGAAACAGATTCTTGGTAGAATTTACGTTGGTTGTTTGGGAAGGAATGTTTTTGTTTCGAATGCTTTGACTGATATGTACGCCAAGTGTGGTGAGATTGATAGAGCACAGTGGTTGTTCGATAGAACGATTAATAGAAATCTAGTTTCATGGAATTCATTGATTGCTGGTTATTTGAAAAATGGGCAACCTAAGAAATGCATTGATTTGTTTCAGGAGATGCAAGTAGCTGGCTTCAAACCTGATGATGTCACAGTCTCGAATGTTCTTGGAGGTTATTGTCAAATTGGATTGGTAGAAGAAGCAAGTAAGGTTTTTCGCATGATTAAGAAAAAGGATAAAGTATCTTGGACCACAATGATTGTTGGTTATGCACAGAATGGAAAAGAAGAAGATGCTCTGAATTTGTTTAGCGAGATGTTAATAAAAGGTGTAAATCCAGACGGTTTTACAATCTCTAGTGTGGTTAGCTCCTGTGCAAGATTAGCCTATCTGTGTAATGGTCAGGTTGTTCATGGGAAAGCCATTCTTTTGGGAGTTGATAATGATTTGCTCGTGTCTAGTGCTCTTGTTGACATGTATTGCAAATGTGGAATCACTAAGGATGCATCGGTTGTTTTTGATATGATGCCATCCCGAAATGTAGTTTCTTGGAATGCCATGATAAGGGGTTATGCGCAGAATGGTCTGGATTTAGAAGCACTGGCCATTTACGAAAAACTGTTGCAAGAAAAGATGAAACCTGACAATATTACATTTGTGGCCGTTCTATCTGCATGCAACCATGCTGGTTTAATTGAAGAAGGACGTAGGTATTTTGATTCTATCAGTAAACGGCATGCATTGGTGCCCACCTTGGATCACTATGCTTGCATGATCAATCTCTTTGGTCGGTCGGGATGCATGAGAGAAGCAATGAATCTAATTAACAATATGCCCCATGAGGCAAATTCCTTAATATGGTCTACCCTTCTATCTGTCTGTTCTATGAAGGGTGACATGGAATACGCGGAGATGGCTGCTAAGCGTCTCTTTGTATTGGAGCCCCTTAATGCAGGACCTTATATCATGCTCTCTAACATGTATGCCACTCGTGGAAGATGGGAAGATGTGGCTTCAGTGAGATCTCTCATGAAAAGTAAGAAAGTCAAGAAGTTTGCTGCTTACAGTTGGATTGAGATCGATAATGAAGTTCACAAGTTTGTAGCAGAAGATGCATCTCATCCCCAAACAGGAATCATATACGAAGGACTGAGAAAACTGATTAAGAAATTGCAGGAAGCTGGCTTTATGCCTGATACGAAGCTAGTTCTTCATAATGTGGTTGAGGAGGAAAAATTTGCATCCATTTGTTACCATAGTGAGAAACTTGCTCTTGCATTTGGATTGATTAAAAAGCCCAATGGAACAACACCGATTAGGATAATGAAGAACATTCGTGTTTGTGGCGATTGCCATCAGTTCATGAAGCTTGTGTCTAGAATTATTGGGAGGCCAATCATCTTGAGAGATTCTAACAGATTCCATCATTTCATTGATGGAAGTTGCTCATGCAAGGATTACTGGTGATCAAAATCCCGGGAGATTTGTTTTCAGATATCTTTTGGTGATAGTCCATGTATGGAAAATTTCAACAGATTCTGATCAAGCTATGAAGGGCCTCTAAAAGTATATTGGGATGGGTTTGGTTTGCCAATTTTAGTAGATAAGACAAGTGAGCCGAGCCCCATCAACAATGCATAAAGCAATTAGTATTTTGAGGCTTTGAAATCGGCAACTTTAGGTACATTTCGAGTCTTGGAATATTTTTTGTAGGCCTCTGAAACATTCCTAGGCAATTATATTGTTCCAATTTGATGCCACATATTGAGCATAGCTTTGGGCTTTGGATCACAAAATAAATGCATATTTTCTTAACTTGCTCGTTGGATTGTGAGTTGCGACTCAAAAGTTGCTTCAAAAGGTTTTTTATACATATTGGTACTTTTTAGCCGTAACTTATTATTCATCTTGTCAGTAGTGATGGATTCAAAAACATTTTTAAGGATGAATATAAATATATTAACAGCACAACTTTTATATATGTTATGGACATAAATAAAATTTCTCGTGGTAAAAATAAAAAAAAATATTAAGAGAAAATTTTATTTTCAGAACAGGCACACAAATGTTATTTGGTCACCGTCTGTCACGAGGGTGGGAGATGAAACCACTATGATATAATGAAATTTTACTAAACTAGGGTTTTTTAACTTGTATAATTATATAGATGTAATTAGAATAATAGAGTTTATACTACTCTCATATAATCATTTTATGATTTACATGGATTGTAATAAAATTATTTTCATACATATGTAGATTTTTTGTTTAAACATTTTTATATTGATTTCAGGTGATTATCAATAACAAGACTACCATAGCTCTGGTTTATGTTTCTTGCACCATTCACGAATCTTTTGTCACCCAAAGACAAAAGGGTCTGGAAATGATTATTAGCCAAAGTTGTTCACCATTCATGTGTGGAGTTCCTATATTTTGAGGCCATATGACGGATCGCATTCCACATTTGGCATTGGACGGGCCTGGCCTAGCCGCAAATCCTTCATGCCCCTCCTTTGTTACTTCCCCATTAAACCTAAATCATTGGGATAATTTTATGGTGTAGCAGTTTAATTTAATGTTAATTTAAAATAATTTTAACCTAAAATATGGTCTTAAAAATCAATATAAATTTGTAATATTTTCGGTTGCAACCGAAAAGTTACATTGCGGGGCTTTAGGTCTTACAACAAAAAATATTATAGAAAATGTAACATTTTCGACTGTAACATGTCCAACTTTAAAAAATAATTTTAACCTAAAATATGGTCTTAAAATCAATATAAATTTGTAATATTTTCGGTTGCAACCGAAAAGTTACATTGCGGGGCTTTAGGTCTTACAACAAAAAATATTATAGAAAATGTAACATTTTCGACTATAACATGTCCAACTTTAAAGGTTACTTCATTCAATCTAAGAAACATACTCTTAATAAAATTTTCGATTGTAACTAATTTATGTCGATTTTAACCTGTATTAATAGGTTATATTTTAAAATTCCCTAAATCATCGCTTCCCTTCTTCTTTTATCTCCGCTTCCCTTCTTCTTTATCTCCTTTACATTCTTTTAAAAAATGTCTCCATGTTTGTGATTTTCCACGAGAAAAAAAAAACAACTATATGATAAATGATGACAATGGAGATTTTAGTGGACTAAGAATAATCCACCTATTTTTATAAGTTAATGTATGCATTATGTCCTCAAACTATAATTTAAATGTTTTGATTAAATTCTCTAAGAACGAACATTCTTTTGTAAGTTAAATATTCGTTTAGACCTTAGGGTTTATTTATTTCGTGACTTTATCGTTCAACATCCTCATAATGAATATTATATATCGAATGAATTAATGAATATTATAATATCGAATGAATTTAATGATAAATGTAGACCAATACTCTAATTTTTCTTATTGACTTTTTTTCTCATTTTTTAATCTAGGTTTTTTCTTTATTTTTGTGTCATCTGCTTCTTTTTCTTTAATTTTTATTTAGTCGATGGTGACGTTAGTTTTAATGTTGGTTGCCTATCGTCGATAATTATTAATTCTCCTATTTTTTGTACTCCTCCTTTTCTTGAGTTTTTTTTATTTTGTATAAGAATTTCACGTTTTTCACTGCTCGTGGCACGATCCTTATGGACTTGGGTACATTTTTCACATACCTTTAAAGTCGATTGGTGCTCGCACAAATGACATTTGTTCTATGATTAATTTGTCGGTGATCAAGTATAATCAATCACCTTTCTAGTAAAAGGAACCAGGTGACAATTATACAAGAGGAAGAAGAGCTGGTGCATGGCTGAGACTTCTAACAACATCATCAGTACATAACTAACAACCATTATAACAGAAAGCACCAGTGCAGCCTAACAACCTACCTGCACTTGGTGAGCATCTATACTGATAACAGGGACCTATTGTGCACTTTACCTAAATAATTGATTAAGGATAAACTACACCCACCACTTAATAATGGAGAGATTCTAATCCGATCATTGATGTTTTAATTTTGTCAATTATATCATTAAACTATTTAATTATTATTATTCGAGCAATTTAATGTTAACATTTGATGAGAAGTTGAGATGGCGGTTAACAAAACTAATATAATTATACATTTGATCTTTATTGTTTACATATTTTATCAATTTGATTCTAATACTAAGTTAATTCAATAAATTTAATCTTCGATTCAAATGATGTCCAAATTTATAAAATGTATAAGTAACGATGATTAAATATATAATAATATCAATTTTATTAATTGTCATATCAATTTTTTCGTCAAATATTAATAGAGCCTAAATTGGTTGAGATTGTTTAAATAATTAAATAATCCAATTAATAAAAATAGAATATCAACTATCAAATTAAAAAAATTCTCGTAATTAAATTTTAACGAGTTTGATTTACATTTAATTAAATTGTTCACCAATACCCAAATATTAAACCAAAACAAAATCAATCCAAAAATCAAAACTAGTTTTCCAACGTCGTTTTTCCCGAAATATCACCGGTGACCGGTATATTTATCGATCTAACACGGGTCAAATTATATTTCTCGATCTAACATCCGTAGAAGTAAAGCGCGCCCCCTGACCCGCGCTATACGCTGATTTGGCGCCACGTGGGTATAGTGTGCCCCCTGCACCGCGCTATTTGCTGACTGGGTTACACGTGGGGTATAGTGCGCCCCTTGAACCGCGCTATATCTGTGTATCTAGACAATTATATTTAGCGCGGACTCTGATCTGCGCTATACCATTATTACATATACCACGGTGCAGGTACCGCACCTTGTATGGCTATATATACCCTTCTCCTCCGGTTATGTTCCTCACATCTCTCCTCTCAACTTATAAATTAATACAATAATTCCGTCAACGAGTCAATAATTTTGGCAATCTTCTCATGTTTAGTTTAGAAGTTCGTGCGATTTTTCGTTAAAAGGTAATTTTGTTATAATTTTTTTATTATACTTATTATTTAATCTGTGTTATTTGAAAAAAATATTATACTAATTATTTTCAATTATATTATTTAAATTATTTACGTTGATGTGTAAAAATTTATTGTGTTATATTTTCGTTCATATATAATTTATTTAATCAGGTTTGTTTCAGTTATTTTTTTGCAGATATAATATTGCCGCACTTTTAAACTCAAAAAATGGCGCGACTTTAAGCTATTGTTTATTATGATGGTGAAATTCGAGAAGATGAAACCGGCGTTGTTTTCGTATCAAATGAGCGTGTTAAAATATCATTCAAGAGAAACATAACTCTTGAGGAGCTGATAATGAAGATTTCGAGGAAGATTCATGTTGGAAGTAGTAGAAGAATGTCGTCGTTGCAGTACAAATTTCCAACATCATTGTTGCCATTAACTTATACAGCGTTCGAACTTTCGAACAATAATGATGTTGAAATGATGGTTGAAGCTCAAAGTAATTATTCAGACGCCGCTATTGAGATGTATGCACATTTTGTTCAAGTGCGTGCTGTTCGAGGTCAATCATTAAGCTCCCACTATAGGTTGGCTGAACAAGTTGATCAAGTTGACATCCCAACTATATTAATGTGTAATGATTTTAATAACATAATGGGGAGACATTCATCCGCAACTCCTTACGATATGTACCGAGGTGGGTTCACGAACAATCCGTATGGCAACACCGCGTCCAGTTCAAGGGGAAGGCATTCATCTGCAAATTTATTTGACCATATGGAGATGCCATCGACGCAACCATCTGTGCAGTTTCCATTTGCCACGATGACTTCAAGCTCCAGGGGGAGGCATTCGACTGCGAGCTTTTTCGATCTCAATGTCGATATGCCTTCCAGTTCAAACGGTGATGGCTATAAAAAATTACAATATCCGTAATTCTGTTCAGTCCAGAGTAAACCGATCGACAACCGAAAAATATGTATGCTACTGTGCCCGACGCGAAAACAGATGCAAATAGATGGTTCGCGTATCGAAAATGAAGAGGAAAAACAACATATGAGAACTAACAGTATACAACGGTCCTCACACATGTTGTGTTGGAGGGGTCAACCAAGATCATCCCAACTTTGACTCTGAAGTGATATGCCAAGTCATCATGCCCATGGTAAAAGCAAGCTCTCATATAGTTGTTGCAGTGTTGATTTCAGCTATACAATCGCAGTATGGGTACACTGTCTCCTATAAAAAAGCTTGGTTGGAAAAACAAAATACCATGTCAAACTTCATGGCGAATGGGATGCATCTTACAATGAACTTCCAGGCTGGTTTAGGTTGGTGCGGAGGTTGAATCTTGGGACAATTGTGGACTTTGAAACCTCCTATGCATACCATAATGATCGAGTTCTCGCGATCGATGCCAATTCTACCGGGTTTTTTAGACTTACCCACAGTGCGTTAATGCTGTCAAATACTGCAAGCCTGTGGTCCAGATTGACGAGACTTTCTTGTATGGAAAATACAAGCAAGTTTTATTATTGACAGTTGTCCAAGATGGAAATCGCAACATTCTTCCAGTTGCTTTTGCTCTTGTCGAAGAGAAGATACAGATTCTTGGGCTTTTTTCCTCCGAAATTTACGTGCACATGTTATCACGAGGGAAAAAATCTGTGTCATTTCTGATCGCGGAGCTGGGATCAAAGCAGCAATGGAGTTTTGGGTCCAATGTGGCAACCACCCTTTGTCCAACATAGGTATTGTCTCCGATACATTGCTGCGAACTACCATGGAAGATACAAGAAGAATGATGAGCGGCAATTACTTGTGCGCATGGGTAAGTGAAACTGATGTAGTTTTTTTTTCT